GCCGTGCCTGCCCAGGTTCATACATCATCTATAGTTCACCAAGAACTGGCAGGTCTTTCGGCAAAATATTCTTCCACTTGCAGATTATTTGGATACCAAGAGCTCGTATCGGCTACGTCAAATTTCATGCCTGGTATGTGACCTTAATTTGAATTGATGTTACTTAGAACCTTTTTGGGATAACTTATCGTCACATTAAACCACTTAATGACTTTTTCATTCATTTGTTTCAAAAGACCACTAACCTGCTGCTTTTTACTGTTAATATCACCATTGTGTTTTCCAGCCAACACTTCTTTTTTGAAGTTAACGTATTTTTCCCTCTAAAATTATTCTACCCAGTATGAAAACAAGTCATCCAAAAGGCTCTCTCACTTTTCCATGCTTTTTGGTTTTGGGCTGAATATTATTCATTGCTTTACTTAATACTTTCAGAGAATTTAATTGGAAAGGGTGGGAGCAGTACTGTTTACAAAGGGAGCCTTCCTGATGGAACAGACCTTGCAGTGAAAATCTTGAAGCCCTCTGACGCTTTGGAAAAACAGTTCTTCTCAGAAATAGAGATTCTTACTACTTTACACCATGAGAACATAATTTCACTTTTTGGGTTTTGCTTTGAAGAAAACAATTTTCTGTTGGTTTATGATCTGTTATCCAGAGGAAGCCTTGAAGACAATCTCCATGGTATTCTTTTATGTGTGTATGCGATCTTATGAAGACCTTTTTGGTTTTACTATGATGATGAATGATTGCTTATGTTTTGAAACAGGTACACAGAATGTTGGGGCTTTCTTTGGTTGGCAAGATAGGTTCAAAGTTGCCTTAGGAGTTGCTAAGGCATTGGACCATTTACACAATTCAACCAATGTACCTGTGATACACCGGGATGTGAAATCCTCAAATATTCTTCTTTCAAATGATTTTGAGCCAAAGGTGCTGCATTTTTCTTTGAAGAGATTATTATGGTCTTCTTTATACAACTATACCATTAACATCTATCAATGTATTTTATAGCTTTCTGATTTTGGACTTGCAACATCTGCCTCATGCTCATCAAGCAAATTGGATGGTATTGATGTTGCTGGAACATTTGGGTAAGTTTTGTTAACTTTTTGTAAGTATTTATTATCCTTACAAACTTGGCTAATAACCATTTTTTTCGTTTACAGATATTTGGCTCCAGAATATTTCATGCATGGAAAGTTAGACGAAAAAATTGATGTATATGCATTAGGCGTTGTCTTGCTTGAACTTCTGTCTGGTAGAAAACCAATTGGCAATGCACATGCTATGGGCCAAGGAAGCCTGGTCCTCTGGGTAAGTTGTATTCTCTTATCAATCTTGATATTGGCTTCTCCAAATTGATAAGTTCTTCGGGATTGAATTGGAAATAATTGCCAAGTTTATTATTGTTATTATTATTTGTTTTTTATTCATCGAGCTTACTTGCAGGCAAAACAAATTTTGAAGAACGGGAAAGATGTTGAATTGCTAGATGTGAGGTTGCTAAATGCATATGATCATGATGAGTTCAATAGAATGGTTTTAGCTGCAACAATTTGCATCGGAAGGGAACCTAAATGTCGTCCCAATATTGACACTGTAAGAGCCATATTCTTCTTAATTATTCAATCCCGGGAATGTTTTTGAGTTGACGCAAAAAACTGAAACCAGAAAACCTGACCAAAACAAGGAATTAGTGACTTCTCTTATTAACAGTACACACCTTAAAATTTTATGTATCACAGTTATTAACAGTACGGTTATGGTTTTCAGAATTCCCTTCAGTTCACCATAAAATTTGTAATGAAATAATATACAGTATTTAAAAATTAAAATGTCAAGTTGTTTGCATAATTAGTCATATAAACAAAATGAAGCTATTTAACAACTTTTATTAGATATTTGGTTAGCCATACTAAATTTGCGGTTAAACGAGAACTGCTTAACCAAAGTAATATGGTCAATTATATTGAAAGCCTTCTACCCAGAACATTGATTAACGAAAGGTTGGTTAACCATTTGTGCCCACCACTAGTAGTATAAGCAGTAAGGCTGTCCTTTAATTCAAATATACATATATACAATTATACAACAGGTTGTAAAACTTCTTCAAGGTGAGCATGAAGCAATTCAATGGGCAAGGCAGCTCTTGAACAGTGCAGATGAAGTGGATGAAGTTGGCGATGAGCAACCTGCAACAGCAAGAATCCAATCTTTTATCAATCTTGCGTTGTTAGATACTGAGGATGACTCCCTTTCAATCAGTAGCAACTCGATATCTGTGGATGATTATTTGCAGGGAAGATGGAGCCGTTCCTCAAGCTTCGATTAGACATTCTTATTAAACATAAAACATTCTTTGTAGATGATGCACACGAATTTGGTTTTCTCCATTTTGGTTGCCATGTCAGCCGTTTGGTCTTGGATGAGAGGTAAGCAAGCTAATGACCTCCTCCTGGCTAAATCTCATTTGGAGTCCTCTTTTTTATGGACACTTCTGTACTTTTTTTTTTCGAACCCAGATTCTGTGAAGTGTAAAGCTTGTTTCAATGAGCATGATAAACCAATGCCCTGTGGCTATGATACAGTGAAGACTATATGTGATTGGTGTAAATAAGTAATGTATCTAGTTCAAGAGGTTGGTTTTTAGCTACCCGGAAAAGAGTGGTTTATTTTTCTTATGGAGTGCTCCTATCCTATAGTGTTCCTGTACTTCTTACATTGTTTTTATGGAGTTCAATTATGTAGCGTGATGTATTTCAAAAAGGTTGTCAAAATTGTAAGTTTTAATTGAATCGATGACCTAAATAAAAAACTGAATTGTGAATAGGATTGTGAATCTTAAGATTTTATTAAACTTGTCTAAGTTAAAACCACTTAATGAGTTAATGGTTTTTGTGGAATTATGTCATCTAATTCTACAAAGACATGTTAAGACTCGATAAACACCAAAAACTCAATTTGATCCTACTAGACTACCAATTATGTCATCGTTTGAATTGCATGCTACCAATTCAATTGCATATTTTTTGATAATCTCAAAGATCCTTATTTTAGAGGTTTATGTTAAATCCTTCAATGGTGGCTAGTGGCTTAAATAAAAAAGGAAAAATTCACAAGAATAATCCCACCTTTCACCGGTCTTCTCATAATAATCCCACCTTTAAATAATCTCAAAATAATCCCACCTTTGCACCCCATCTTCTTTCATTGGACCCTGACCATGTTTTTTACTCTTTTTTGAAACATATAAATGATCTCACCTTTCACTTTTTTATTATATCTTTATAAATGTAAGATTATTTATATAAGATTCTCAAAAAAGGTAAAAAAACTTGGTTAGGGTCCAATGGAAGAAGATGAAGTGCAAAGGTGGGATTATTTTGGGATTATTTAAAGGTGGGATTATTATGAGAAGACCGGCGAAAGGTGGGATTATTCTTGTGAATTTTTCCAATAAAAAAATATAAATACATATTTATTTTAGTGTTTATATAAACTTATTAACTGTGTATATTAAATAATAATAATACCGACATCCGTTAAATTTAGGGTTCGTTCGATAGTTTACGCGTTAAATCTTTGAATGCGAAATGACTACATGCAAAATTTAGGGACGTAATTACTTTGCATGTAACATAGATTACATTATTTGGCTAGATATGTAATTTATTTTTATTCGCACGCAAAGTCATTGCAGTGCTTTATAAAAAGCATTCGAAGTATTTTACTACCGTCTCTAAAATACTTTACATGGTACAATGTGAAATGTTTTTAAAAAGTGTCTTACAATTTACATTAAATAATTAAACCAAACAGTGCAAACTTTTTACGTCCCTCCACTTCACATGCAAAGTAATTATTTTACATTCTACCAAACAAACTCTTAATGCTACCTCAATGCATATTTTACTACTCGGTATTTTATTTGATCTTGTATAGTTGTATTTGCCTTCATCACATTTTTTTAATGATCACATTTTATATATTAATCTCTAAAATGCCATACATTTTATTAAAAATAATACGGAATATGAGTTATTTATTTACTGTAGCCTACTTTTAGGCTATAGCTATACTAGGGGTGGGAAAAACCGAACCGAAACTCGGAATTATGATCCCGGTCCGGGTTTTTTCTTTTTAACCGGCCCGAATTAAAAAAAAACCCGGACCGAACCGAAAATTACGGGCTCATTAACGGGCCTTAAAATCTATGACCCGGCCGGGACCGAAAAAACCCGAAACAATTAGTTTTAATATAAAATTCATATAGTATATGAATATAAATAAAATATTTCCTAATATATGATTATAATCACGGTGGATAAAAAAAGATTTAGTAACTTTTAGTGACTACAAATATGTTGAATTTGTTTAGTGTAATGATGACCATGAGAATATATTTATAGCAACTCTAGTAACTTTTTTATTTATAAAATTTATTTCGTAATATTTTTAAGAAACCTATATTATTTATATATATACATCTTACATAAAATATTAAGATAATTATCTTCTTTAAATTTGAATTGTTGGTGATTTTGGAGACTAATATATGTGTTATTATTTGCGGTTTGTAGTTTTGATTAATTTTATTTGAAAATAAGTGTTAAAATATAAAAGAACAATGACATATTTTACGGTCGGGCTTTAACCGGTCCAACCCGAAGCCGGACCGAACCCGGGCTACCAAAACCCGACTCGGACCGAATATAATGGGCTTTGTTCCGGTCCCTAATTTTCATAACCCGAGACCTTCCGGGTAATTTCCGGGTTTAGCAAAAACCCGACCCAGACCGGATCGATCCCACCCCTAGGCTATATAGCCATTTGTACCCATAAAGATAGGAACATTTTTTGGAACAAATAATAAAATACTCCGTATCGAAAATAGATACTCCGTATAAATTGAAGTCCCATACATTCATAGATATGAGCCATAAATTCAGAAGCCAAATTAATTATGGCCCATAACTTATTATGGGAATCTCCTACAAAAATACAATAAACGGCTTCCATTTATCGTGGGCTGCCTCTGAGTTCGTACATCGCATATGTATACATAATACATGCCAGAAACGTTGGGTGCAATTTTAGTCACATGTATACATAATACATAATACATACTAAGCCCGCATCTTCTACCAACATGGCGAAATTTGACCAAAAATCCAATAATGCCAAATCGAGTCAAATTGTCAATTTTAAAGCTCAGGATTGGCAAATTCGCGGAAAGGTGGGACTGGTAGTTTTTTCTGAGGCATTTAAGTGAGCAAAAACTTGCTGCTTTTAGTGAATGAAAATGTAAAAAATGATACCCTTCTCAAGCAACTTCCACAGGCATCCGATTGTGGTTACCTCCTGTAAGGCTTTAAAAGATACCCTTCAAACTCTGTGCTAAAAGTTATTGATTCCTCATCGAGCCTTTTCTTTAGCCTCCTCCAAGTTCTCAACATATCAGACTGTATCAACCCTGAATATAACATCTCAAATGTAACCTTTTGGGGAAGAAACCCTTTCTCTATCATTTCCATAAACAGCTCACAAGCATCTCTCCATCTCTTTTTCTTGCACAGTCCATGGATCATCAAGGTGTAAGAATCCAAATCCGGACCTATACTGCTGTTCTTCATATCATCCCAAATCTCCCTGGCAAGCCCTAATCTCCCCAAGTTCACAAACATTCCTAACAGTATATTAAATGTGGCCTCACTTGGTGCGCACAAGGATCCATCCTTCATTTTACCATACAAACCCAATGCACCATCAATGTCTTTTCTGCCCCTATATTCCTTGAAGAAACAATTCAGAGTGGCTGCTATGGGAGTCACCCCGCCACTCACCATTTCATCAAGCAACTTTTCTGCATCCTTAATCCGCCCACATGAGCATAGACACTTGATGACTGATGTGTATGATGCTATATTTGGACATATACCCTTCTCCTTCATTTCCATCAGCTTCTCTAGAGAGAGCTCAGGTTTATGTGCCCTGCTATATACATGGAGTAAAATCGAGTAACTTGTTACGTCAGGCTCAACTCCTCTCTCGCGCATTTCACCAAACACCTTCTCTGCCTCCACTATCACCCTCTCAAACCTGCCGTCCGGATGCAAACTGGCTCTCCTGCAAATCCCATTCAGCAACACGTTATAAGTCACCACGTTTGGGTGGATAGATTTAGCGATCATCTCCTCGAAGAATTTCTTCGCCATCTCAATCTTCTTCAGCTTGCACCAGCCGTAAATCAGGATTGTATAGATCTTGCAGTTCACCTCCACCCTCCATTTCTCTTTGTTGAACACCTCAGTAGCCACTCTCACGTACCCGTACTTACAGAGGGTGTCGAGGAGATAGCAAAAGTACAAATTCCAGACGTCTTCCTCCCCGTGTTCATCGATGAAGACAAACATTTCGCTGAAGGCGCGAACGGCTTGTCGTGTCAGCCCAGCAGATATGAGCCTCCGGATTAGGACGTAGAAAGTCGTGAAATTGGGGGAGATCTTCTGCTGGTCCATCTGGACTATGAGCTTCCAGGCGGCGTCGAATTGCCGGACTTTGGAGAGGATGTCGATGAGGAGGTTGAAGGCGGTGGCGTCGATTGGGGAGCCGGGGCAGGACAGGGAGAAGTTGAAAAAAGCGAGGGCAACTTTGGAAGAGTGTTTGAGGCGGAGGAGCGTCTGGTGGAGGAGGAACGGGGAGAGGGAAATGCCGGTGAGCTGAAGCGATGATTCCGTTGGGTGAAAGGGATTGTGGTGTTGGAGAAGAATCTGAGCGATCCTATCGGCGTCGTTAGAGGGTTCGATTTGGGGAAGGGCAGGTTTGGGTGTGGCGGTGTCGGAGGCAAAGTCGTAGTCGTTGAGGTGGTCGGAGTTTGTAGAAGTAAAACAGAAGCGGCGGAAAACGGCGGCACCTGGGAAAGGAAAAACGCGAGAACGACAAAGGCAACTTGCCATTTTTACCTGAGAGCATCAACTCAAACAAACTTTGAAAAAATGTAGGTTGGGTGGCTTCTGCACTTCTTGGCTTCGCACGGGACTTCCCCGATTTGGCTTCGGGCATTGCTTCCCTTAGGGCCTGTTTGGATGGAGTGTTTGGAAGTGTTAGTAATGGAAGTGTTAGTAAGTGTTAGTAAGGGCTCGCAAGGGAAGGGAAGTGTAAGTGTTAGTAATTTTACCTTGTTTGGGAGAGTCAAATGAATGAAGTGTTAATAATGGAAGTGTTAATAATTTTACCCTGAGACAAAATAAACGATGAAAGAGAAGAGATGAAAAAACAAACCATCAGACCCGTGGGAAAGACATTCGAAGTGAAATGTCGAAGCATTTTATGTTTTTCGGGTAAATGAGAAGGGTAATAATTGTCCAACACCTCAAAACACTCCAAATCGGGGTGTTAAAAAAATGGACAATTGAGGTGTTGGGAAGGTTATTATTAACACTTCCTAACATTACTAACACTTCTTAACACCTCTGGATTTTTCTCCCAAACAAGTGTTAGCATCAATACTTACTAACACTTCCATTACTAACACTCCTAAACACTCAATCCAAACAGGCCGTTAGGTCCCCCAACACCAAGAAGATGGTATAACTATAATTGACAGACAGATAGAGAGTCACTTGGGGGTCAGATTGTGAAGCAATTACAAACCGAAGAAGTACGTAGTGAAGCAACTGACTACTCCCTCAGTCCCGTAATGAACTTCTCAGTTTGACTTCACACAGATTAAGAAAATAAATTTGACTTTACTGTGGAGTGCACTGTTCTGCATTGTTTAAACACTGTTTGACACTGTTTGACACTGTTTGACACTTTTTTGATGTAGATTATTTGCCAAATAAGAAAAGTTTTGAAATGTGAAGTTAATTTCGGGACTGCCCGAAAAGGAAAGTGAGAAGTTAAATTTGGGACGGAGGGAGTATAAATTTACATCCTTCCAATTCTACGTAAATCTGCATACAATTCTCAGAGATTTACTATAATCACAACCAACACAGAGCTATTTCATAGAATTGTATGCAGATTTACTCTTCTCTAATTTCCAATATGAACACTGGCCAAATACATTACTGGAGTTCCTTTTCATATATCTACTCTTTACTTGATCTTTTTACAACAATGGAAAATAAGGTGATAAAAGCCGTATGAGTTCCAACAACGGATAAAAGCGGATGATTATTGTCAGTCTTCCACCAAAATCTTATGAAACATCATAATGATATCTTAGGAAATATTTGCTGCTCTTGCATTCTTATGCATACGATATAACTTTGTTTGGCTAATTGTTTAAAACTTGGGAGTGTAGCAGCTAAGATGGTTCTAAATTTTACTTTTCTACTATCACCCATTTTGTTGAAGCAGAAAAATTTTCTTAATGCATACTTTAAACATTTAGGTATAAAATGTATAATCATATAAATGGTGAGCTATGATGGGAGATTAAATGATCTGTGTTCTGCTCATGAGCACATAAGTATTGCTATTTTAAATCCAGGTTGAACATCGGCTGAGCCCTTTCTTATTTGTGCATGCACCAAGGATCAGCTCTGAGCCCTTTCTTATTTGTCATAGTCATGGATGAACTTACGAAGTCAATTCAAGAATAAATATCGTGGTGCATGATGTTTGCCGACGATATTGTATTGATTGATGAGACGCAGTCAGGTCTTAAGGCAAAGTTGGAAGTATGGAGACAAACATTGGAGAACAAGGGTTTCAGACTTAGTTGGAGCAAGACAGAGTACATGGAGTGCAAGATTGGTGGAGGTAGAAACAGAGGTAATAGTGGAATTACTCTAGATGGTAAGGAGATACCAGTCATTGATATGTTCCGTTACTTGGGCCCCATAATTCAGAAGGACGGTGAGTTAGATGAAGATGTATCGCATAGAATCAGAACATGGTGGATGAAGTGGAAGACTGTGTCAGGATTTCTGTGTGATAGAGGTATGTCGACTAGACTGAAGGGTAAATTTTATAGGACATCAATTAGGCCTGCATTGCTTTATGGTGTAGAGTGTTGGGCGGTGAAACAATGTCAGACTCAAAAGATGAGTGTGGCAGAGATGCACATGATGCGTTGGATGTGTGAGCATACCAGGAAGGACCACGTGAGAAATGAGACAATCAAACAAAGGGTGGAAGTAGCACTTATTGAAGACAAGATGCGGGAGTTGCGCCTACGGTGATTTGGTCACGTGTGTAGAAGATCGAGTGATGCACCTGTCAGCCATGTTAAAATGTGTGGAGAAGAGGCAGGGAAGAGAGGGAGAGGAAGACCCAAACAGGCGTGGGTTAGGGGAGTCCGAAGTGATATGTTTCTTCTTGGGTTGGATGAGGGTATGACTTTGGAGAAAGCAAAGTGGAAGACAAGTATTCGTGTGGAGGAGTGATCTCATATTATTATTTCCCCTCATCTTTTCTTCTTCTTGTTTTTTTTATTCTTTTATCCTTATATATATAAACATTATTTTTATTCATTTTATTTTATCATTTTTAGGCATCTATTTTTATATTATCTTTTTTTATAATAACTTATCTTTTTCATCTTTATTTTCTTTCTTTTTCTTTTTGATGGTGATATCATCTAACGATTCATGTTAGCCAAACCTAATATCTTTTGGAACTATGACTTGGATGTTGTTGTTGTTGTAGTATTGAATATTAAATTATTTTCAATATACTATAGTAATACATAATTATTACTAAAATTGATGTATAGAAGAAAATAGATTGAATTTATAGGACCACTATTCTCTTCATTGACCTTCTCGACTTCTCATTTCTCTTTGTGGCGTTTGTGCTCCTGACACCTCCTGTGTACGGTAATTTTGAAATAGTGTAGACGTTTGATAATTTATGAAGAACCCGTTTGCTAGCACAAAAATTGGCTGTTTTGGCTGATTCTGTTGAAATTTATGAAATTCTGACTGAAGTAGTTGCATTGGTTGATTTTGTTGATTTAAGAAAAAATTATTTTTTTAATATATTTCATTAATAAAATAAAGAAAAAATTATATGTAAAAATAGCTAAAATGATCATCTATAGTTAACTTAAGCCAATACAGCCAGAAAAGTAACTTCAACCTTACTTTTTCTTCTTATTACACATTTCAGCGCACGAAAGCAAAAATTACGTGTTTGGTGAAAAAGTTGGCTGATAAGTCTGATAAACCGAAAAATAGTGTTACCAAACAGCCTCGAAATCTCAAAGTACAAATAATTGACAGAGTGACATTACACCAACAGTCACCAAACTAAGGGTCTGTTTGCAACAGCTTCTGCTTTTAAAAAGTGCTTTTTTAATGAAATGGGGAGAAGTGATTAAATAAAAGTTGATAGTGTTTGAGAAAAAAGTGATTTGGAAAAGTAAAAGTGGGTAGTGTTTGGTAAAATAAGTGCTTTTTGTGTAATTGAAAAAGTAAAAGCACTTTTGGCGCGGAAGCCGAGAAAAATAAAAGTTGTAGTGTTTGAGAAAATAAGTGCTTTCTTAAAGCCAAAAGCTGAGAAGTGCTTTTTTAAAAGCAGTTGCAAACCAACCCTAAAAGTGTTACCACGTACTTTTTTCTCTTTCTTTAGTATAATAACCAAATACTACTACGTATATAAAAATTATTACGAGTATATGATAACAATAGTTTTATTTTAAAATAATGGTGCCCACAAGAACACAACATGGTGCCCAAGGCATATGCCTAGATGCCTCCCTCCTAAAGTCGGTCCTGTGGACAGGCCATGCCAGGGCAGCAATTCCAAGTCACTTGCATGCAGTGCTTAAGGAGTCGTCTACAGAATGTACTCACAGTTCAGTTTCATCGTGAAATACTTTTCAAACCTACTTGCACAAATAGAGTGCATGGATCCAAGAGCATATAATGTGCGAATGTTTGCCAGCATCCTCCTCACATCACAGGCAAACACTTCCACTATTTCATAGTATTGTCCGGACTCAACTCTCTCTGATATGATCTTCAAGTCTGCATGCAACACCAATCAATAAATACTTAGTTAACAAACATTGTTGAATTCATCTCATTTAAAAAATTCAAAATCTGATTTTTTTTAATTTCTTTTCTATAGGAAATTAAATATATCAACTCTCAAACTTGTGTGTACGTTGTGAAACTTGATTATCGGAGTGTTGCATGATATATATAAGACGTGCACATTCATACTTAGCAAAATTTTTTTATAGGCATAGCATAATAATACTCCGTGTATAAACTGAGTAGGTACGTACCAATGGGGTCATTGCCCACTGCAACTTCTTTGAACGCCCCAGCATCAACATGAGCATACATCGACTGCTCAGCTTCAACAACCACATGAGAAAACATGAGAATATGATATAATTGAAAGCATGTATTGATGGAGAAGTAACTGAACAAATTGATGGAAAAGTAATTTAAAAAATGATGGAGAAGTATTTAACTAGCCTTTAGGAGTGAGCGTAGGAAATCTGTAACATTTTTTTGATTGGTTGCCCTATCAATCTTAGTATGCAATGCTTTATATTCCGTGTCAAGACTTGCCCCTACATATATTCCATCTGGTTTACAGCTTCAAATATATATATATATAACCCATAAATCCATAATAAACAAGTCATGATAGATCAAAGTACGAATACTATGCATTCAATTGTACGGAGTACATAATTATTAAGAATATCACAAACAAAAAAATTACTCCGTACTCATACCAGCTGTTGTGGTGTTCTCATCCGCCGCCTGATCTTCTTTCTGATCGAATATACATAGCAATTGTTAGTTTACGTTTTAGGGGACAAATTAATCGTAATAATTGGAATTATGGTCAAGTTTACCTGTCCGAAAGATGAGCAATTAAATTCCATTAGAGATGTTGAGTTGTATTTTGTGATCATCCTACAACAACAAACATTTATTCATTTAACTTGATAGAAAGAAATAATAATAGTGATTCTACTCATAGAAAGAATTAACGAAGGAATTTAATTGCTATAGATCGAACTATCATACCCTTCCCAACGATCTTTCTCCAATTTAATCTCTTCGGTAAAGCCCTGCATTTATATATTTATTAAATAATAACATAGGGCCCGGTATATTTTCCTAGTAGAACCTTTTACGAATCTGCCTAAAGCTCCACTTTGATTTTTCTTCCCTAGGGCTTTCCGCCGCTGGGGTCTCGATCGTTTCTTCCCTTGGGCTTTTCGCCGCTGGGATTCATTTCCCGTTTTCGTTTATTAACGAAGAACGGTGCTTAGGTTGTGGTGAAGGCGAATGACGGCAGTGGTCTGGGCTTCGTTGGAAGGGCTTGGTCGCGGCTTGGGTTTGGCCAAACAGGAAGACGCAGGGGATGAACGAAGGGAGGGGATCTCCATGTCAGGAGAAGTCGACGCCGTGATTACGGACTGGAAGATCAGCCTTCCGGGGTTCCAAGATCTGATGGCATCTGTTTGGCGTCCGGGGAAATCGCTTTGGTGCAACAACAATGATGAAGTAGAGGCGGTCGAGTTGGAGGAAAACCGCTTTGGTGCAACAACAATCGCTGTGAGGGTCCGGCCTCCCCCAGAACCACCGCCAAGGGTTAATCTTTTATCCAATTTAATTTCCAAGTTAAGACGTTTGTGTTTTGTTGTTATTTTATTTTATACTGTAAGACTCTTGCATTAGATTTGAGTTTTGAAAGCTCTACGGTAATTGTCATTGGTTTTAAGTTGCCCAATCTCGATCTAGCGAGTTATACTGCTTTTCTACAGGTGGTTAACTCTCAGTCTCGGCCACGAACGGATGATTACTTGTGGTTCTTTTGTACCCTTACTCAATGCTATTTCCATTTATATGAATTAAGCCACCTTCGATAAAAAAAACCTTTTACGGTCACAAGAATGTGTATTGACTAACTGTGTGTGTGTATATACACCAAGTATATTATAGCATATATAGCTATAGTATTGGACCGATAGACAAGAGAGCCTGCAGAAAGAGTCAAAGAAAAATAAAGTTTACAGGGTACAAAATTATGATATGGATTTCAAGAAAAAGAAGAAAGAAGGAAAGAGATAAAGGAATCGAGGGGAGAAGGGGGAGGTGATGCAGGTCGGACAATGGCGATGGAGACCTCGAACAGGAAAGAAGCCGGGAGAAAGAAGAAGGAAAGAGAGAGAAAAAGAAAAAGAAAATGAAATAAAAAATATAAAAAAAAAATTGTAAAAAGTAAAAAAAGCCAGTTGGACAGATCCACGTAAGCATTTGAACTGGGAACCGGTTGATTACCTATGAAATAGCCAATTTGGTTGTTTTTTTACAGTTTGTGGACTTGATTGATTCATTTAAAAGTACATGTATTTAAATGACTTTTTCGTACTAGTGCATGGACTTATTTGACAGTTTTCCCAATAATATATACACCTCCAATTATACATTACTGACACATAAAATAAAGATGATTATTGGATTACTATTTATTATCAATTCTTGAAATATGTTTTGAAATTTATGTAGGTTTTCTTTTTAGGTCATCACCGATAACAACTTTCGTTTGACCTCAACATAACCACACTTATTAAGTTTTCCCCTATTCTTTGTCATGTTATTAATAAAGTTTTTTTCCAAATGTTCTTAATACATATCTGTGGGCGTGGGCATACGCCGTGCGCGTCTCATCAAAGTAGAAGAATCACGCAATTCGCACAATCTAGATATAGGAGCAGTGTTATCAATCAATCAGTTCAAATACGCTCAATGAGAATATAAATATTATCACATGTGTGTCTGTCATTAAATTTTCGAAAAGCAATAACAGTTTATGCATATCCCAATTACCATTTCTAATTCGATCAATCCCTATCAATATCGTTATTTTTGTGTGAATATGAATGCTTAACAAACCAATTTCTAATTCCACTACCTTTCTCAAAAGAACAAGAGAAAACTAAGCATTATTGACATTTTCAAAAAGAGAGGAGTGAAACACTGCCATTGTCATCACTTCAAAGTTCAAATTTGAATTCCAATTATAAATAGATGTGTCATGTGTGTGCGCATGCGTGTGTTAAAAATTAGCCTGCATTGCAGCGTGAAATTAATATCTTAGTTTAAGAAATAAACACACTTAAACTAAATGAGTTTAAAAAGTGAAACTGTTGTATCAAATAATTAATCTAGACCCACCATACCAATATAGACTCATGCCATCGGTTACTGATTTAGAAAAAAATTAATATGAACTGTCAAAGTACTTTCAAATAGATTTATGTACACATGATTTAATTTTTAATTACGTGATTTACATCGATGGTCCTTCAAATTCTTCTATATCTTGTAATGAATGAATACAATAAGAGGAGATAAGAATAAGTGATCCTAAAAATGTTACTCGCATTTTAAATATTCGTTTTTAACGCTGTTATGATGTGGCCTTATAGAGAAGCTTGTAAAACCTGTTAAAATATGCAATGAAATAAAGGAGGTTTACAAATATAGTTAAACACAGTGTTGTTATCGTTATGGTAGAAATGAATATTTTGATTTGTAAAGTTCATTGTCCCACAAAATTAACAGGAATATTGCTTTGAAAAGACGAAATATATTGAGGCAGGAATGATTTATAAACTAAAAGTTTAACTTGTGTGCAATATAACATTTGTTAGTTGAAGAGAACAAAATTAATGGAAGTGATGTTCATTTAGCCTTTTTCTAAAGGTTTTTTGTAATCCTAGATAGCTTAGTAACAGTGGTTATCAAGTATGTTAAAGATTTTACTCGTCACATACATAATGCCGCTACTTAAGGCTGAACTCAAAGATGAGAATGAAGATGAAGTTTGTAACCTACATCTGATGAAAGGTGGTTTGCTAATGAAGGATGAGATATATAATACTCCCACCGTCCCCTTTTAAATGTCCCGTTTTACCATATTGGGATGTCCTTATTTAATTGCCCCATATCTTATTTGGTAAACTTTGTGTGGCTCAAAATCATTCTTACTTTATTCTTACTTTATCAATTAATATCAACCACACAAACTCACTTTTCTTAAAACTCATGCCACCATCTCCCGTCCCATTTAAAAGGGGACGGAGGGAGTAATAGTTATTGCTAAGACTTTGAGGTTTTTTACCAAACACTTTGTAGGCAACGAAGTAAGAGTTTTTTCGTGGATAACATGAAACCCAAGTTTGGTGAATACTGAATGCGTTTAAAATTAGCTATATTCAGTGAACATCAACAGAAATGAACCTCAAGAAAGTCAACCCTTTAGTACCTGGCTGTATAATTTTTTGATAGAATGATGTTTAAGGGCTGTAGGACTGTAATAATATGTTTGAAAGTTGCTGCTAACTTAGATCAATTTGCTCTTTTACTGGTAAAGTAAAGCATACGCAGGTTTCTTTGTGTAGGTGTTAAAGTTTTCGATGAAATTTAAGGTAATGAAAGTAGATAATATGCTAGTTAGCTTTTTTTTTCGTTTTAAATGCGTTATAAACACGTATCGTTTTTTTGACCAAAAAACACGTTTAAAAAGGGGGGAAATGTCGGTCCGTTTAAAAAGGAAAAAAAGTCCTACTTCCCGTATAAAATGTATTTTTCCCGTATTTTACAAAAAACATAAACATGAATTGACTAATTGAATGAATGCACTAAATGCATAGAAGATCAACAATAGTGTAAAAGTAAAAATGAAAACGTCCACCCTATGATCTTGTGTTTTTTTATTGTTACAGTGCAATTATTAAATACTAAAATTAATTGCATGATGGCTAAAGCTAGCATTCTGAAATACTAAAACTTACGTAGTAATATACTAACAGATTTCTGATGTTTTTTTAGCTAGCATATCAAAATTAAGATTTTTCTAAACCTAACGTTTTTTTAGCATAAGCTTTTACACAAACAATAATAAGTGTAGCAATCACACAACTTTTGTCATATGTCATCTTAATGAAAATGATGAGTTTAACTTGAGTATTATTATTTGATGATCATATAAAGATATTGATTTTTTGACATTATTTTTCAAAATTATGTCCTAGACTTGATTACTATTTTTATTTTTGTCATCGACTTATGCAATTATGAACGATTCTTGTATGTAGTAATGAGATTTGCTACTTGAATATGTGTATACTTTTATTTCTTTTTCACTATATATATGTTATTTTATGAAATATATCATTTAGATGTTCAAAATAATACCCGTATTTTTCGTCCAAATTTTTGTAGTAGATAACGTATTATACACGTATACGTATTTACATGTTTTTTAAAAGTCAACGTTTTTTTCAACGAATTTTTGACCGTCTTTTTCATTCATGTTACCGAATAAAACGCGTACGTATTAAACCTCGATTAATTCCCGTACCGTATTTAACTAACTAGGGATGGACGCACCTGTTGATGGAGGCTTGATAACATTAAATATTAGTAGACTTAATTACGTTCAAATTAATTAAGTCCACCAAAGGTAGTTCAATCATTAATTTTTTTTGCAAACTTAAATTTAAATGTAAAAGTAAATTAAAGTCATTAATATCCGGAAGTCACTGAAGCCCTAGCTGCCATCATCGAAGTCATTGAAGCCCTAGACGTCACAGTCACTGAAACTCTAGTCAACCAACAAAGTCACTAAACCACGATGTTGCTACCGCCCATGACATCACCATAATCCAAACCGCCCATGACGTCGCCCACGATGTTACTAATCTAGCCCGCACTTCTCATCATAAACTAGGGATGGACCGGGCCCGGGTCGGGGCGAGACTGGGGGTTTGGGCTGAAGGCCCGGTACCGGCCCGGGTTGAAACCGGACCAGGTCAGGTCTGAGTGATTTTTTTTAACAAAATTGTTTTTCTAATTTATTCCTACCCCCCAACCCCCTAGCCCCACCCGCCTAGCATCCAATGAATGGGGAAAAACGGAGTAATAATTTATGCATCCCGTAGCCCGCCCCTAATACCCCTGGTTCAGCCCTCCGGTCGGCCAGGCCGGGCCAGTACCGCACAACAATGGGCCGGGTACCGGGTCAGGCCGAACCGGCCCAGTACATGCCTACCATCAACAAACACGGAGAAGAAGTGAAGAACATGAGAGGAGGAGGCGTTTCTTGTCATTGCCGGCTTGTCGCACTGTGAGGTGGTCGTCACGGTGTCAATTCAATGATAGCCGTCACTGTCAAAATTGTCCCTATGTTTTGTTGA